CAAGATCTTTTTCACATACTGCTCTCGAGCCAGGCACCCCCCCCCCCATTCTGTATCCTTGCATTTCAGTTTTTCTGCCTAAGTGGAGTATCTTACATTTGTCACTGTTGAACTTCATTTTGTTAGTTTTGGCCCATCTCTTTAATCTGTTCAGATCATTTCGAATTCTGCTCCTGTCTTCTGGAGTCTTGGCTGTCCCTCCCAATTTGGTGTCATCTGATGATCATGCCTTCTAACCCTTCATCTAAGTAATTAATAAACAGTACATATCCTTGAAGTGACTGGATTGACCTTGAAGGAGCTGGGGGTGGTGACGACTGACAGGGAGCTCTGGGGTGGGCTGGTCCATGAAGTCACGAAGAGTCGGAAATGACTGAACAAATGAACAACAACAACAGCATATTGATCTACTCACATTTGCATGTTTTCAAACTGCTAAGTTGGCAGAAGCTGGGGCTAACATTGGGAGCTCACCCCACTCCCCGGATTTGAACCTCCAACCTTTCGGTCAGCAAGTTCAGCAGCTCAGCAGTTTAACCAGAGGCTCCTTCCACTACACTATACTTGTTCTCAATAGAACCATCCAATATGTTAGTTATAATTATAGTTGAGTAGTTGTTATCATTACTACTATCATCTTTTAACCATGATGTTCAGTATATTATCTCCATCTCTTCATCCCACTGAGCTCAATGAGAGTTAAAGTATATTTACGATTAGGCATTTAAGCATTTTTGCTGGAAACACATCTCAAGTTGCTCAGAGGATGGTTAAACTTGCTTGACCAACTGATCTGATTTCAGTGAAATACTCAACTCTTGCATTTGGGTCTTCTGTGATTCTTAATCTCAGTTGGATTGTGCTCTTGATTGCCTTTGTTTTGTTTTGTTCAAATGCAAATAGATCTTGTGCATCAGACCTGTCACTTTACTAGGAAGCTTTCCATATTATCTCTGATGCCCAAGCCAAAATCAAAACATCTCTCACACATCACAGTGATAACATTTATATAGGCTGATTGTATGCCTGCCCGATGCATGCCATAACAGTAGAATGTGAGAACATTTTTTGCTGCTATTAGTTAACTATTGCTCTCTTTTGAGACAATGTGGATTTGACAATGATTAGGGAGGCGCCCAAGTGGTGTAACAATTTGTCTGTTCAGCCATGGAAACTCATAGGGTGACCTTGGCTAAGTCAGCACTCTCTCAGCCTCGGTTCTCTGAACAAATCTTTCAAAGAAAATGCTGTGATTGGTAGCCAGAGGTCAGAAATGATTTGAAGGACACAACAAAGCACAAATTTTGATTAAAACAGTAATTTATACATCAAGAACAGCCAGAGGGACATGCATTGTGGAAAAGCGGGGTTGGGTTTACTACTTCAATATCATTTATTTTAGCTGCAAGTCGCTTCTGACTGGCACAACCTGGGGATCACAACCAGACACAGTGAAGACATCTTCCCTTCCGCTTTGCTACTCTGCTGCTGAAAATGCATGCCCAGTGTGGAAAACATCTCACCATGTTAAAACAGTGAATGTGGCACTTAAAGAGACATGCTACATTATCACAGGATGTCTATGCCCCACACCAATGGAGAAATTACACTGTTTAGCTGGTATTGCACCACCTGGCATCCATTGGGAAGTAGCAACCAATAATGAAAGGATCAAGACAGTGACATCTCTAACCCATCTTTTGTTCGGATAGCAGCCAGCATGCCAACACCTTAAATCAAGAAACAGCTTCCTAAGATCTACAGAGATACTTGCAGGAACACCTCAGCAAGTGAGAGTCCAAAAGTGGCAGGCTAAAACCCAGCACCTCAATCAGTGGCTGATGCCAGGTGAGAAACTTCCTCCAGGGCACACAGAATAGTGGACGACGTGGAAGGCGCTAAACAGGCTGTGCTCTGGCACCAAAGTGGAGTCCACAACATGAGAGAGCAGAGAAGAGCAAACCACAGACCATCTACTACAATGCAACCTGAGCTCTGCCACATGCACAACGGAGGACTTTCTTACAGCAACACCAGAGGCACTCCAAGTGGCCAGCTTCTGGTCAAAAGACATTTAGCATAATACCAAGTTTTTAAAAACTTTGTGTTTTAAATGCATTTTAATTATACTCTCAACTTGCTTCTGACACGATAAATAAATAAAATTTATTTTAGCAACATTTCTCTCTTCTGGGTTGTTGTAGGTTTTTTTGGGCTATATGGCCATGGTATTCTATGGCCATATAGCCCGAAAAAACCTACAACAACCCAGTAATTCCGGCCATGAAAGCCTTCAACAATTCCTCTCTTCCTTCCATTTCCAGAATTGCTGTCCATAGTTCCTTGAACTGGGAGAATTAACTCATCTCTCAAGTTTGAGTTGAACCAATTTCAAAATCTGAATTATAATGAGGTGGATAAAGATGTGGAGACTTGCTCTTATTCAAGGTTTCTCGCCCCACAGGGAAAATTCCCAGAGAGTTCCTCCAATAGCAGGTCCAGAGAATCTTGGAGGTGCTGCTCCCTCTCTTATCCAAAGAGAAATAGACAAGAAGCTTCAATGGTGTCACGTCTTCCAATTCAAATTGCTTTCCCTCTCACTACAGTGCCTATTGATTTTTCAATGCTAACTTCATCTCCCCTCTCAGTACCAGATTAAAGCCTGCAAGGTATTAAATTTGGCATGGAAGGAGATATAAGAAGGCAAAAAGTAGACACTCCCATCTTTCTCGCACACACAAAAAAGGAAGTCAGGCGGAATAAAAAAGCAGATTCTAGGATATATAATAAGTTCACATTTGCTCATGCCTTGACATCAAGGTGATGGCATCTTATCATTTGGACATCTTTGATTGTTCCTTTCCATGAAGCTGTATGTTTACAAACACAAAAGTGCAGACAACCAGAGAAAAAGAGCAGGAGGAGGTGGCACCAAAGTTTTATTTCATATATATTTTTTAAAAAGTAGAGGAGTCCCTGGCAGTCAAATCATGGAAGAGAGCTCTTAAAGGAGCAGAATGGCTTGGGTCTTCCAACACTGTGAGCATTCTCCCTTTGTGCCTGTCTATGTGTGTGAATGTGGAGAGAGAGAGAGAGATGCTTGGAGAAGAAATCCAACGACAAAGAGTCTTTATTTCCGGGAGAAGACTTCAAAATACGTGCTAGAAATGGACAATTTGAGTCCTTTCTCTCTTGCTGTCCCCCTCCCTCAAATGCAAGAGGAGAGAGAGAAGGGGGGGATTAAAATCAACCACGTGGTAGATCTCTGCTTTTCTTTCTCTCTGCTTTCTCCCCCTCTCCTTTTAAATACACTTTGCAACCTCCAGTTTCCATTTATGCTCTTCTTTTCCTTTTTTTTTTGTATGTGTGCTCCTGCTCAGGGGAAAAAAGGATTAAGCCTCTCCTAAAGATGAAGGTATCTCAGGGATTGGCTTAAGGGGGCAATACTCATCCATCCATCTCTTCCTGTGTCTCTTTCGACTTCTCTCTTTTTTTGCAGGCTTGGAGGAGAACTTGCCATGGCTGGGAGGAGGATAGCCCTGGAGCAAGAAAGCCACTGGCACCATCTCCTCCAAGGCTGAGGAGCACTTAGAAAAGGTTGGAGGCATCATCTTGGACCTTTAGAGAAGGAATCATCATCTAAGTTGGAAAAGTAGAAAGAAGGGATGAAGAGGGAACCTCTTTGGAAGGCTCTGTTTCTTTCCCAGCTTCAGGAAGCCTTAGCAAACCCATCCCAAGAGGACTGAAGTTGAGCCATCTCCTCCACCATCACAATCTCCTCCTCCAGCATCTTGGGCTATTTGTTCCTATCTCCTTTGTTTCCTTGCCTCTCCACCATCACCACAACCACCTCCTCCTCCAGCATCTTGGGCCATTTGTTTCTCTTTTGCTTCCTTGCTTCTATCTCCTTTGCTTCCTTGCCTCTTCACCATCTTCTGCTCCAACATCTTGGGATATTTGTTTCTATCTCCTTTACTTCTTTGCCTGTCCCCCATCACCATTTCCTGCACCAACATCTTGGGCTATTTGTTTCTATCACTTTTGCTTCCTTGCTTCTATCTCCTTTGCTTCCTTGCCTCTCCACCATCACCATCTCCTGCTCCAACATCTTGAGCCATTTGTTTCTATCTCCTTGCTTCCTTGCCTCACCACCATCACCATATAGTCCTCCAGCATTTTGAGCTATTTGTTTCTATCTCCTTTACTTACTTGCTTCTCTACCACCATCTCCTGCTCCAGCATCTTGGACTATTTGTTTCTATCTCCTTTACTTACTTGCTTCTCTACCACCATCATCTCCCACTATAGCATCTTGACCTATTTGTTTCTATTTCCTTTTCTTCTTTGCTCCTGTACCACCATCATCTCCTCCTCCAGCACCTTGGGCTATTTGTTTCTATCTTCTTTACTTCCTTCCCTCTCCACCACCACCATCTCCTGCTCCAACATCTTGGGCTATTTGCTTCTATCCCTTTTGCTTTCCTGCTTCTATCTCCTTTGCTTCCTTGCCTCTCCACCATCTCCATCTCCTCCTCCAGCATCTTGGGCTATATGTTCCTATCTTATTTGCTTCCTTGCTTCTCTACCACCATCATCTCCTTTTCCAGGATCTTGGGCTATTTGCTTCTATCTCTTTTGCTTCCTTGCTTCTATCTCCTTTACTTCCTTGCCTCTCCACCATCACCATCTCCTCCTCCAGCATCTTGAGCTATTTGTTTCTATCTCCTTTACTTCTTTGCCTTTCCACCACCATCACCACCTCCTCCTCCAGCATCTTGGGCTATTTGTTCCTCTCTCCTTTGCTTCCTTGCCCTTTCTCTGGATTTCTTTCTTTCTTTCTTCCTTCCTCCTCCTCCTCCTCCTCCACCCCAGGGTCTTTTCTTCTTCCTCCTCTTCCTGCTCCTTCTCTTCCCTCTTTTTCCACGTTGTTGTTGTTGTTAGAAAGCCTTCTTGCACCCCCTGGTGCTCTTGCGTTTTTGTGTGTGGTAGGCAAGGAGATTGGTCTTCTTTCTCTGCTTCTCTCTCTCTCTCTCTCCCTCTGGTTGCTCATTATTCAGAGAGAGACACACGGAAGGGCTGAGTGAGTGAGTGAGTGAGTGAGGCAGAGAGGGAGAGAGAGAGAGAGACGGATATCTCAGGTCATCTGCAGCTGCAGCAAGCCAGCGAAGGAGAGAGAGAGAGAGAGGGAGGGAGAGGGGAAAGAGAGAGAGAGAGAGGAAAAAAAAGCAGGGAAAAAGATGGCGATCCTCCATTGCTGAGACCTGGCAAGGCGCACATGAGACAGGCAAAAACAACTTCCACAACAATTGCAAGGAGGAGGAGGAGGAGGAGGTGGAGGAGGAGAAGAAAGCGAGGACAGCGAGGAGGAAGAGGAGAAGGAGGAAGAGGAGGAGGAGAAGAAGAAGGGGGAGCCGCGGACCGGGACCTTTCTGTAAGTTGCAATAATCCTCATCTCCCCTTCCACCATCAAAGGAACCCACATTGGAGAAGGATCCAGCCACCAAGAGAAAGAGAGACAGAGAGAGAGAGAGAGAAAGATCTCCTCCTCTCCTTGTCCCACCACTTCCTCTCTCTTCCCTTCTGGATCTACCACCCCATTCATTCAGAAGTAGGAGAAGAAGGCAACATTGGAGGTGGTGTTGATGTTGGTTGGGGTTGGGGGGGAAAGGGTGGTTTTGTTTCCAGAAGTCCCTTGTCCCTGGCCCTGGGGAAGGAGGAGGAGGAGAAGCAAGAGGAGGAGGAGGAGGTGGTGGAGCTGGAGCTGCTGTTGGGTGGGAGGAGGAGGAGGAGGAAGAGGAGGAGGAGGAGGAAGGCAGTTAATTAATTTGGTGTTGTTGTTGCATTAAGGTGCGTGGGGAGGAAGGAGATAAGTGCTCAGAAGTGTGTCTTGTGGGGGCAGTTGGGGCTTTGGAGGTGGGAAGAAGAAAGAGAAAGAGAGAGCCCAGATTGCTCTCCCAAGCCATCCGGGTGACCTCTTTCTTCCTTGGCTTTCTCTTTCTTTCTTTCTCTTTGGTGCTCCTCTTGATCTTCTTCTCCTTCTCCAGACTTCTCAGTGTATTTCTCTCCTTTCTGGGACCTACAGCCTTTCCTGAAGTTGAGATCCTAGGGATGGATGGTGGGGGGTCTCCTCCAAGGGTTGGCTTGGAAGAGAACAGCGGTGGGGTCTGGAGAGAAGCCATTACAGCAGAGTCCTGCTCCTTCCCTTGATCATTATGATGATGAACCCCCCTTTGGAAAGGAAGAAAGGGAAGGTAACCGAGGAGGGGGCTTTGCTTCTTGTTCACTTCCATGGCTTTCCAGGGAATGAGAAGCAGCTGAGCTCCCCCCACCCACCCCCTTTCTCTTTCTTTCTCCATGTCCCTCTTCCCCCCTTCTCTTTCTTTATCTCCTTGTCCTCCATTTGCAAGCTGTCTGCTTTGGTTCCAGTCCAGACTCCAAAACACAAAGCTACTTCTCTTTCCCATGCACACCAAGAGGGAGAATCTCTCCCAAGGCTTTGCTCGGCTCCTCCACCACCTCTTTCCTCCTTTTCTTTCTTGGCTTTTGTAGTTTCTGCTTCTGGGTGGAGGAGGAAGAAGGGGAGATCTTTCCTGGAGGAGCCCCCTAAGGATCTTGGGTTTGGATCTGATTCTGGACCCCCAGGGAAAGTTTTTGTCCTCTTGGTTTTGGAAGGATCTTCTAGGAGATCCTGGATTTCTTTTTTGTTTGGTTTTTTTGTTTGTTTGGAAGCGAAGGAGAAAGCTGGTGAGATCTGGGGCTGCTTTGAGCTGGCTGCTTTGTGTGCTTTGCCTGCTTGTCTCATGAAGCTACTTGCATGCCTAAGAGGAAGTGAATAGTTGGACAGAGGGCTGTGATCTGAGTCAGGTAAGCCATGTCATGTTCTCTAGCTCCACCAGAAAATGGAGGAGAGGGAGAGCAAAGACAGGCTTTTCCACTAGACAAAGCTGAGATGGGAACTGCTCATGCAATTATGGATGTTTCTCCATTTTTTCCCCCTGAAGCTTTGTTGGCAAAGCCCTGCTTGACAATTTCTTTCCCCCTTCAGTGAGCAACGTTTTGTGATGTCTCTTCTTTCTCTGACTACAGGAAATGGATGATTTGAGGAAGTTTCATAGATTCTTTTCATAGATTCTCCAGAGACAAGAGACCTATGTTCTAAAAGGACATGTTTCTCTCCTTGTCCTTTTATAGTTTCATTTTCAAACTTAGCCTTTCCTCCTCCCCTCCAGGTTTTTGTTTTGTTTTTCATTCTTTTGGTTGAACTTCCATCACATTCAAGAGGCTGATTTGGGTTGACCAAAGGCACATTTTGATTTTGAAAGAAAAGGAAATAGTTCAGCTTTATCTCATGAGGATGGCTGTGTTCTTCTGCAGAATGACATGGAATCAATGTCAATCATTCAAAAAAATTTTTTTTGATGGCCTTGCTGTGGCCTTTTCATCTGATGAACAATATGATGTCTTTTGGAAGTATTATAATTTTTAGCAATTGTATGATTGTATAGTTAGGATTTTAAACCAACATGAGTTCTTTTGAAATCCCATCTCAAATATTATCTAATTTATGGAGGAGTTACTTTTACGTTTTTGAATTATTAGCTCCAAGCATTTCAGTGGTAATGGCTAGAGATGTTGAGTTTTTATTTTCAAAAGGATGCTCATCGTTTTGTTGTACAGCCAAGCTTGAGCATGTGTCAATCCTATTATTTCAGTGGAAGAGTTATATGGAAACTCATATATAGGGGTAATCTCTATATGTTTAACTGAGAAGGAGAACCTGCTAAGTTCAGTGAGGCTTATTCCCAGTTTATTGAATTTAGGATTGTAGTCACAAACATGCCTTTCTCTTTCCCATTGAAATCAATAGGACATTTTTTTGTCTCGATTGTGAATTCTGTTTCTACAAATGTATTTCAAATAGGTGGCAATTTGGAGAAAGTATGGTGTTCTTTCTAGGTTTTAATTGAGAATGTTTTAGGTCAATGTTAACAATAAATAACTCCAGCCGTACCTAATTATGATCATATAAATTATCTGAAGAAGTTAATGAAGTTTGGTTTTCCGTAGTTAGCAATAAAACATGAAAGACAAACCGAGTGTTGTAGATCTCTCTTTCTGCATATAAATTTCCATCTATAATATTTTCATGTCAGAGGACCCTTCCACACAGTAATATAACCCAGGGTATCAAGGCAGGAAATACCATAATATCTGCTTTGAACTGGGTTATCAGAGTCCACACTACCACATATTCCAGTTCAAAGCAGATAATGTGGAATTTTATTCAGCTGTGTGGAAGGGGCCTTAGATAGCTACTAGTTATGGAAAGATGGAGATATCCCCATTTTGTATTACACGCAACCAACAATACTACTGTGTGATAGAACTCCATGACTATCTGTACTGCTGATAAAACAGTAGATTTTCTGTTATTAAAAAAATAATGAAGTACATTTAATTGTAAGCAATAGCTTCTAGTTGAGGTTGCATTTTGGTTCCTCAAACTTCTGAGATACATGTATAGATGATGAAGAGTGGAACAAAACTCAGTGGTGCACAGCAAGATATTTCTTGCATTACCCTTTAATGATGTTATGGTAGGCTGCTGTTTAGGTAGGCCTTTCTCATTGTTTGATGGTGTCCATGTGTTTCTTTTTGAGTTTTCTCCAGTTGAATCAATCCAATACTGTTTTTTTTTCTTGAAGAATCTGTTCATATACAATTTCTGTTTAGACAGACTTCCTTTCTTTTAATGGGCTACAGAATATAGATGGGTTTTCTTTGATTTTAAGGTACAGCTAGCTCAGACATAATTTAAAGACTCACGCTGTGGACATAGAGGACAACTTCTGCAGGAAAGGTCCTTTCCATGAGTCAGATATTGGATTGGATTTAAAATTCATAATCGTTATGTAGGTTGCAAACTACAGGAAAGGAGATTCCACCTGAACATTAGGAAGAACTTCCTAGCTGTGGGAGCTGTTCAGCAGTGGAACTCTCTGTTCAGCAGTGTGGTGGAGGCTCCTTCTTTGGAGGCTTTTAAATAGAGGGTGGATGGCCAACTGTTGGGGGTGCTCTGAATGAGATTTTCCTGCTTCTTGGAGGGGGTTGGACTGGACGGCCCACAAGGTCTCTTCCAACTCTGATTCTATGATTTAATGGCCTAATATTCTTTCTAATTTAATTAGATTCATACAGCTTATAATAGAACCCTAGCCTGCATCAAGGGTTCAATGGATCTTCCTTCATTGAGATCTCATAACATGTCATGCCATGGATGATTGGCTTGCTATAGGATATAAGTTACATGTGGGTACATGTGTCTTCTAACTGCAGCAGGAGTATTGAAATCAGTGATTCTCAACCTGTGAGTGCCCAGATGTTTTGGCCTTCAACTCCCAGAAATCCTAACATCTGGTAAACTGGCTGGGATTTCTAAGAGTTGTAGGCCAAAACACTTGGGGACCCACAGATTGAGAACCACTGGTCTAAACAAAAGAAGCATTGCTCCATCTTTTGTCTATTGTGTCATCCAAGTATGGGCTTACTCCACTTTGTTTCTATCCTAGTAAAAAGAAGGAAATTGCAATTTGGCTTATGCTCCTTTTTCTACCAGGGATTCTCAAACTCAAGTTTTGGACTTCAACTCCCAGAAGCCTTGGTTGCCTTGGCCAATGATCAGGCAGTGTAGGAGCTGAAGTCCAAAACATGTGGAAGACCAGAGTTTGGGAAACACTACAGTATTAGGAGATAAGCAAGACTCAACTCTTTTTTTAAAAACCTAAGGTATTGGAGAAACAAACCAGAGAGTCACACGTGTCCACATTTAGGTGACAGAATGAACAAGCTGTGGAGGAGATTTCCATGATTTTTTCTTGCAGTGAGCAGGAGAAATCAGGTAGCATACCAGCATGCGGCTTATTGTCAATAGATCAAGGTTCCTCCAGATCTCTGTCTCATTCACTTGTTTGACCATGGCAGTTTATAGAAAAGCAATTGCTCATTTTGCACAGGTACCTATATTAGACTTGGTATTTTACAGTTCCTCCTGAATTTAGTCTTAAAATGTGAATAGCCTCCTTTCAGATAATGTCCTGTGGCCTGGCTATCTTCTCTTGGGGCCATCAAGTGATCAACATGTTTGTGTGAACTTAAGAAAATTTCTTGTACATCTGTGGACCCTTCTACACAGCCATATAACCCAGAATATTAAGTCAGAAAATCCCACAATATCCGAATTGAACTGGTTTATCAGAGTCCACACTGCCATATATTCCAGTTCAAAGCAAATAATTTGGGATTTTCCTCTATATATTCTGGGTTATATGGCTTTGTGGAAAGGCCCTGTAATATCTGGGCCAACTTCTTTTGTTGAAATTGATTCGTTACTTATTTGTTTGATATATCTGAATCTTTCTGGATAGTTTTTTA